ACTGAATGTCTGTTGCATAAAAGGTGATCAAATGGGAAGAAAGTGAGCAAGACTTGACTTAGGCCTTGCCTTTAAGGAGGTTAAGCTCTAGAGAGAAGAAACAAAGTCCAATAACGAAGACAGAATAAATTAAATTACAGGATATAATAATGCATGATCAAGTTCCCCAAAAAGACGAGTGGAAACGATGGTGCATTTCAGGTTAAGAAGACATTGTGCACAGGGTCGGAGATGGCTGACAGCGTGGATTAGTGAAACAGCATGGTATGTGTGCACGAGCACTGCGGTCTGCAAATGGAGGCGGGGGATCATGTTTGAAGACAGTGAAAAATTGGGCTCTCTAGAGGAAGGTGAGTCTACCTTTGAATTTGAACACCATTCTAAGGCATATGGAGACTACAACTACAGGAGCCATAAAAAGGGGAGCAGAATAATTAATTAATTGAAGGTCAGGGGAATAACTGGATACACGTGGAAGATGGCTTGGAAAGAGAGCCTGAAGACAGAGAGAGCCTGAAGACAGAGAAGCCAATTAGGTGCGTATTCATGTTGTCTGTTCCGCCGATCACATTATGCAAAGCAAGACAGACTGACCTTGATGACTGGAGAGGTGTTGGTGGGGCTTGGCTCAAGAAGGAAGGTAAGTAAAGGGGTGGTTTTTAGAGGTAATGAATATGTTTAGTACCTTGACTGTGATGATGGTATCATGGGGTATACATATGTCCAACCCTATCAAGATGTGTATATTTCTTTGTATGTCAATTACGGTTTAATGTCGGTAACGGGGAAAAAAACGATGGCCTTTGTACAGTTTAGAAATTCTGGAGGTTGATCGCAAATTTTGGATTGTTGCGGGTTTTTTTTTTTTTTTTTCGGTTTTATCCAGAAAATACTCACTCACCATACTTAGCCTGAATCCAATCATGAGTAAACAAGCAGGCAATGCAAAGTGAGAAACGTTTTACAAAACAACTGGCCTGACCTCTTCTGAAATAAATGTCAGTCTCATGAAAAAAATCTGAAGAGGCTAGGGCAGCGTTCGTTCTAGACTAAAGGAGAGTTTAAAAAAAAAAAAAAAAAAAAAAAAAGAGACAGACAAGGCAACTAGCTGCAAAGCGTGACCTTTCACTGGCTCCTGAGTGAAAAGACCCAAAAAGCTAGAAAGAATATTATTGGCAGAATGGGGGATATTTCCATTTAAATTAGATAATAGTACTGTATCGCTGTTTACTTTCCTGTGATTAGGTTGAAGTGTTAGCAAGTATGCAACATAATCATTAAAACTATACAGGCACATAAAATATACATGAATATCTATCTATGCAGGATATATAAAGAAAGATGTCTGTTAACGTAAATAGATGTTACTGTCAATAAATAAAGCGAATGTGGCAAAAGGTTGAATTAACTGCAGTTCTGCGCTAAGTTTGTTCTAAATAAGAAGCTAAGGAACCTTTAAACAAACATTGTTTAAACGAACAAGTAAAATATAAAATGTTCTTAAGAAAAGAATGATTGATTGGGTAGAAGAAGAAGTTAAGGGAGTCAGAGAGAAGCTGTTGCGAAGATAGACTTGGTTCCTTGCTAAGAGAATGTGAGCTTCATTAGGACATCGTCCCATTTTAAAAGACGTATAGAACGCACACATGGTACCCAGAGACTTACTTAGCCGTGCTATTTCATGGTTTGAGGAAACACTCCAACTCATTAGATCACCCAGTACGACTTCACCCATATTTCTCTTTAAAAAGAGTCTTGGGGTTATATATTAAAAGAATGCAACTCTCTACCAGAAAATGGTTCAGCAAATCCCGGCCATATCACGTCTCAGAGCTTCAAAGCACGAGGATACACACTGCATTTATTTCAACACCTGTGTGCATCCTGCAAGAAGATGGTCTTTTTTTTTTTTTCTTCTTCTTCTTTACGGTGAAAGAAAAAAGAGTCACCTTTGAATTCACTCTCTTCATCCAGAGAACAAACTTACTAACAACTCCAGAGAACAAACTTACTAACAACAGAGCCTATCCATTTTACTAGTGGCAAGTCATCTCTTAGCCTAAGTCGGCCACTGGAGAAAGCAAGCACTTCCGTTCTTGCATTCAGTTCTGCCACGATCCTCTCAGCTCCACAAGTCGTCAGGTCCACGGCCTGAGGTGGACTTTAATCTGGGTGCTTTCATAGGCACGCTGCCTCTTTGCCAGTGTTGACAGGCCTAAATCATTAATGCTTCCAAGCACCCAGGGCTCTGAATCTCACCACTCAAATATGTGACTTCGTTTCACAGGCTTTGCTTACTTCAAAAAAAAAAAAAAAAGGCAAAATCCTGCAGTAGGCATTAACAACAGAGGTACTAGAACTCAGTTATTTTTGGAATTCACAGACTTTACAAAGGCACATAATATTCTGTCCTATGCTGCGCTATCACTTACAGCCCCAACAGGCCATTAGCTCGACTCAGATCTCATGTGGAGAAAGAGAATCTGATGCCCTAAATCACTGAGGTGTGGTAAAGCTGGGAAAACAACTCCAAACAAACATTTCCTCTTCCTTCAGAAAAGAAATGAAAGCTGGCTTTTCTACAAGCTGTGATTTCTCTAATCTCAGTGCCCTCATCCACCCTCGTCAACTTCTCGAGGAATCTTTCTCCTTTCCCAGCAACCCTGGCCCCTCCACGATCTCCATGCTCGCTGGGAGGCTACCTCTTAGACATAGGCGTCACTGCAAAGTGTTTGTTTTACTTTCCATGATGTCCAACTTGGGAATTTTCCTGACCATGGTCCCCAGTCCTCCACCATAAAATGCACTCATACCTTTCCTTTTTGTCCCATCAATTTGGATTAGGCGCTTCACCTCTCTCTATATAGATCCTAAGTATAAAATGAAATCTTCGACACACCATGGGACCAGGCGACAGAGCTTTAAGTGTGAATCAAGGCGTTCCCAGGTCTCTCCCTTTCTGTGAGGTAAGAGGGTCAAGTAAACCCAGTTTTAGGACCCAGGGAAAAGAAAGCATGCGGTGACTCACGCTGGGCCTCACAAGACGAGACGAGGAGTCACGAGAGGCGGGGGACAGAGCAAGTATTTGTGGCCTTCATAAAACCCCCTGTTGTCTAGCCTAGCACAACAAGAAAAACCAGTAAGCAGATGGCTGGCAACCACCTGTCACGGTCCTTCTAACAATGGATTCATTACCCCTGCAAAATGCTTTACTTGGTTTGACCTTTTATTTGCCTCATGAACTCCAGTTTTCTTGGAACCCCATCCTAGGCAGAGAAGACGACTAGAAGACCACCACCAGACCTGGCTGAGCATTTTGTCTGCACACTTTTTATCTCCGCCCTCAGTGTTACGTGATAACGTTCCAAAAGGGTCTTTACTTTCCTCAAGCCACACTCATTTTCAAGATTACCCGACCTTTTATTTCAGTGAAAAGACAGACATCTCCAACTTCCTTCTCTTAGGCACTTCTGAGGAAGCATTTTCAGCTAATGCGCTTACAGTGATCCACTGAGCTGTAATTTATTCTCATTTCGATGGAGCCCTTTTCAGCATTTTGACCTCTTGCGCTCATCTTCTTCCTGAAACCTATGCCTGCTTGTGTGGCTGAGCCACACTGACTCCATTTTGTCAGCTCCATTCTTGGGCACACAGGCCTGCCTCCTCCCTCCCCTTTCTGCGTGACTGAGCTTCAGCCTACTCACTAGGACTGTGCCCAAGCCAGACAAGTCCCCTATCAGCTTTTACCCTTGCCTCATCTGATACGAAAACTGGAAGAATGCCGCTGACGCAGGTGGTTAATGGTCCTGAGACCACCGCCCCGCCCCGCCCAGAGGGGAGGAAAAAGCCCCAGTTTCCATCCGTGCAGACATGCCTTGGCCCCTTTAAGTCCCCCTTTCGGCGGCAGGGAGTACAGCTGCAAACGTTTCAGGATCACCGTCCACCTGATCCTTCCCTGTACGGAAGCTGCCCATAGTAAACTTCAGAGTTGTACTTTATGGAGTTGCCTGCTTCGTTGTCTGGTCTTGGAGGCTGTTATTCAGTAAGCCCTCTTCGGTAACCTTTCCAACACTCCTCCCCACTCCTTTCCTGCCGCATCCCCCAAACGGAGGTCTTCCCCGAGGCGCTGTATCCGAGCACCTTCGTTATATATTTCTCATCTCACCCCCTTGCGGCTATCAATTCTGTGGAGTTCACTCTCAAATCTCTCCAGACTGTCCTTTTACCCCCTCCTAAAACAGACACAGCGTTTCCACATTCAAAAGGATCATTATCTTCTTCCAACCAAATCCTCTCCCCTCATTGCCTTTCCTTACATTGTCGGGTCAGTCCCCTGGCCTTGGGTACTCTATTTTCAAATAAGTCCCGTAACTTGGCCTTTGTGACTGCCTCCTAACGAGTCTTTCTACCTATAAAAGTTTTATTTTTACTTTGGGGCAGATAAAACTGCCGGAGTACATCTTTTTAGCTATTTCTCAGCTGCTAAATGATTTTCAGCGGCTCCCTGACACTGACCACACACATTCATGTCACTATAATGTGACCCCAACCTTCCTCTGCAGCCTTCCTTCCTCCCCGACCCCACCTCCTGCTTGGACCCTATCTATCTACCTGGACCAGCGGCTCCCTCCTGCCCTTGGCCCAAGGCCCTCATCTCTACATCTTCAGTTACGCTGTACCTTCTTCAACATATGCTCAGTTCCTACTCCATCCTTCAAAACCCTTCCCAAATATCAATTCGTCGAAAAGCCTCCTCTGATCTCCGAAATGAATGAAACTTTAATACCACGTTGCCTTGTCCTGACTAACTGAATAGCCAGTCCTTTGCGGGCTAGGACTGTGCCTTTCATCTTCGTACCCCAAAGGCATTTATGACAATCCCTTGTCCGGAACCGATATTAGATAATTTAGCAGGTGATTTAAACCTCTGTGCAAACGGTTCACCATTTCCAGACGTTAAGAGAGAACAAAATCCAGGAGTAGCTAAGACAGACACTTACCCATGGATTCCGAAGTTTGACTGCCCACCACGCGGAGCAGCATAGGCTGGCTGCTGTCTGACCTCTGAAGAGACGTAGAAGGAGAGGACACCGCTGTACCATTCACCTTGGCCTCTGCCTGGGGCTGAGGCATTCAAAAGAAAAAAAGAGAATTAGTTTTCACAATCAACACGCCAACAAATATATACCTATTACAGACGCTCAAGACTCAGAAATTACGACTTTTCCTACTTAGAAACCTCCCAAAGATGGTTACATTTGGGAAATTTCACTGTTGATAAGATCCATGGATACTGTCTGTGTACCTGAATTGTACCCCCTTCCAAGTTTGAAAACCATTACAGCTACGGTGGAATACGATATAGAAAATCATTAGCCTAAATAACTGAAAGATTTAGAAGGTCATGTGAGAATGGTGAAATCATATGAGACCACAAAAATGTAGTGGAGAATTCTTATTTTTGTGAAGTATTAAGGAACAAGATGGAGAGAACCTATCTCAAATTTTTAAATTCCCAGAAAGCCAGGACTGTGTGCAGGCGGGGCCTCCCACAATGCAATATCCTGCTACATTTTCAATGGAGACTTAAAAAAATTACGTTTTAGGGATTATCAAAAGGAAAAACCCAAAGGCATACCAGAAAATAAGACTAATTAATTGGGGAAAACAAAAAGAGTTAAAAAAAAAAAAAAAAAAAAAAAAAAAAAGTTCCATTTCAAGAGGTAAAATTTCCACTTTGAGGTTAACTAGTGGAAACCTTTCTGTATTTTTTTTTCCCAAGATGAATTTTAAATCAGTCAAGTAGAAGATATTTTTGTAGGAAACAATCTGGAACAACTATAAAATGACATGCTAGTTGTTCCTCCTCTTCTTATATCCCTTGATACCTAGCACTTTGCCAGGCACATACCAAGTAATTAACAAATCGATGCTTGTTATAGTTCTGAAAGGACTCGGAGTTCTAGTTTTTAGTTTGAAGAGGGGAAAATGATGTTTGGTTTGTAAATATCCCATGCTACAGAGAGGTGGCTCTCACTTGCTCCAGCAGCTGCCTCAGCCTATGTAACTGTGATTCCAGCTGTTTATTGTGGTCTTCCAGGATTTGCATCCTGGCTTCCAGGCGGCCTTTGTGTTGACGCAGTAGCTTGGCCTCAGCAATGAGCTCAGCATCCCGGGGACTCTGGGGAGAGGTGGGCATCATTTCAGGAGGGGATGGCAGTGGGGATAGGCCTTTATGTTCATGCTGCTGCTTGAGACGATCATATTCTGCTTGCAGATTCCTGTTCGGCATCAAAGAAGTGGAAAAGACAGAAAAAAAAAACAAAGAAAATTGAATATCATCACCAGATTTCCTATAAAATGGAAGAGAGATACATCTGACCACCACCAAGCACAATAGCAAGCAAAAGGGAGGCACTTAATGAATGGTTTTTATGACGACGATTTTAGTGATGCTAAGAAAACAAAATAAAATTTGAAGCGTCTGCCCGGAATATGTGCAGGGGAGATGCTCTTCAGTCTTCTGTACTCAAAGCCTTATGAGTGCTATGTTTACATAATTAAGCAGCAAAGGAGTTATAATCATTGTGTAAGTATTTCCTTATACTGTCACGAGATTATAATTCTTATACCTCTGTCAACACTCTGGTTTGCTTAAAAAAATCAAATATTTTCAACAGCAATGTGCAAGAACATAGTAAGAGTGTACCCATGTACCCACCACAGCGCTTTAATGAAGTTAACATTTGCCATATTTTCTTCAAATTTCTTTGAAGAAATAAAAATATGACAGTTACAGCCGAAGCTTCCCCACAGGTTCTCCTCACTATGATATCAGTTCCCCGCTCACCAATGCCCCCAAGGAGACAATGCCATCCTGAGTTCCACGACCGTCATTCCCACGAATGCATCCACAAATACTGGCTTGCTGAGATTCGGCTTTTTCTACCCTACATAAATGGCCATTTCACGTGATTCCATCTAATAGCATTATTTTGCATGTTCTTAAACTTTCTGTTTAAGAACTCTGTTTAAGCATGCACATACCATTCTACGAGTTGCTTTTTGCCTTCAACACCGTTTTGGAGATTTATCCATGTTGATACATAACAGTTCATGATTTTAACGGCTGTAAGGTATTATTCTGCTGCTTGACTATGCCAACAATATTCTCCTCTCAATGAACATTTAGGTTGTTTCCAACTTGTCACTATTACAAAGAGTGACGCAATGAACTTCTGTCTACGTGTCTCCCTGGATACCTGTTTAAGAGATTCTTTACAGAATACATGTAGATGTAAAATTGTTGGGTTCTAGCAACATCTTCAACATTGCTACAGATCACCAAACTGCTCTCCTAAGAGTTTTTATACCAATTGACTCTCCCAGCAGTAGTGAGTGAGATTTTCCATTTGGTCACATTCTTCCTCAGATACTTGGTGTTACCAAACATCATTTAAGTTTTGGTTGATGGGTATATTTTTAATGAGCGCATCTCTGACTACTGGTGAGGCTGAACTTTTTCTGTTCTGGCCGTACCGCGTGGCTTGTGGGACCTTAGTTCCCCGACCAGGGATCGAACCCACGCCCTTGGCGGTGAAAGCGCAGAGCCCTAACCACTGGACCGCCAGGGGAGTCCCCGAGGCTGAACTTGTTTTATGTTAGTTGGCTTTTCATGTTTCCGTACCCATTTCCCTACTGGGTTGTCTTTGTCTTATTCACGTTCCGGATACGTTCGAGATGCTTATCCTTTGCCAGTTACATGCACAGCAGATATTATCTCCTACACACATCTTAGCATAGCTGACCTTTAACTTTATTCTTGGCATCTTACTGTACAACAATTTTTAATCTCAAAACACTCCTCCATGTTTTCTGCTTTTTATGTTTTAAGAAAATCGTCCTTACACCTACATTTTAAAGTTCAAAAGTTTGTTTTTCACAGTTAGTTAGGACTTCGCGCAGAATCTTGTCTGTTTGGTGTGAACATAAAATCTAATTTTACTATCCCCACATAGGTAACTTATTAAGCCAGCCCCATTCATTGTGTGGTCCACCTTTTGTCCACCGATTTCTATGGCATTTACATAATACATCAAGCATCCATAAATACACAGGTGCGCTTCTGAGCTCTCTAGTCTCCGCTGTTGGTTTATCTGTCTGTCCCTGTGCAGTTCCGCACTATGGCTTTAAATACATTGTCTGTCTGGTAGGCCATCTCACTCCCACTTTGTTTTGTCCTAAAAATTTTCTCGGCTCTTCAGCCCTCTCTGATCATCCCTATGATTTTAGTGTGAAGATTTCATATTTCAGGAAAATCCTTGTTGAAATTCCGGGTTTGAATTACATTGACTGTATAGGTTAAAATGGGAAGAGCTGACTCCGTGTTATTGAGTCTTCATATCCAGGAATATGGTGAAGCTCTTCAGTTATTCTAGTCTCCTGTTCTGTCCATTAACAGTGTCCTGGGACTTCCCTGGTGCTGCAGTGGTTAGGAGTCTGCCTGCCAGTGTAGGGGACACGGGTTCGAGCCCTGGTCCGGGAAGATTCCCCCATGCCGCGGAGCAACTAAGCCCATGCGCCACGACTACTGAGCCCACGTGCCACGACTACTGAAGCCTGCCTGCCTAGAGCCTGTGCTCTGCAACAAGAGAAGCCACCGCAATGAGAAGCCTGCACACTGCAACGAAGAGTAGCCCCTGCTCGCCGCAACGGGAGAAAGCCCGTGAGCAGCAACGAAGACCCAACACAGCCAAAATTAAATAAATTAAAAAAAAAAACAGGGCTGCCCTGGTGGCGCAGTGGTTGAGAGTCCGCCTGCCGATGCAGGGGACGCGGGTTCGTGCCCGCGGCACGTGGGAAGATCCCACGTGCCGCGGAGCGGCTGGGCTCGTGAGCCATGGCCGCTGGGCCTGCGCGTCCGGAGCCTGTGCTCCGCAACGGGAGAGGCCGCAACAGTGAGAGGCCCGCGTACCGCAAAAAACAAACAAACAAAAAACAACGAAACAAAAACAATGTTCTGTAACTTCCTGTGTTTTTCCTCTAGATTTTAGGTTGAATGCTTAAGTCATTTTCCTTATTTTTATGCTTTTTAATAAATACACATAGGGGTATAGATTTCCTTCTTGCTTCAGAATTGCTGAGAATACAATTCCAACGGAGGACACCTGTTATTTGATACCCAGCAAATGAACAGAACTCTTGATACCTTTCTTCCAGTTAGGATGAATACCAAAATAAGATGACAGATTTCTGTGGTCCACAGATGGTATTTCATCGGGTTAGAGAATGTCCTACCCACAAATGCGGGAGATGTCTGTCTATGAGAAAAGATGTGAGGGGCAAGGCAAGTGGTGAGCAGGCAAGACGAGTTTTCCCGTTGTCCCTCGGGGATGGCACGTCTTCCGAAATGCCTAGTTGCAAAATGCTGGATCTCTGCACCGAAGGTGATTTTATTTCAATCCAATCTGTTTTTTTTTTTTTTTTTTGGTTTGTTTTTGACTAAAGCTCTACTACCCTGTACCTAACGTTACAAGTTTTCTAGGAATTTGTTTAAAGTCACACAGGAAAATCAATCTACGATCTTTTTCATTTACAGGAATATAGTATCCTATCTGTATTGACTGAAATCCTATCTGCTATCAATCTTCAAGGAGAGTTATATGTGCAGTTTGTTTCAGAGACATCTGCTTTGAGAAAGCAGTAATAAGAAGAAATTCACCAAAATACGTTTACCCTCAGCCAGGTTCAACACATAGGTCCTCTGGGTGTGAACCACCATAAGTAGCTGTTCACATTAATTAAATCCAATTTCTGGCCGCCTAACTGACAATCATCGAAATGTTTCTGTGAACCTGAAGCAGCATCCAATGTTCACAAGGTTTCATGTGATAGGAATTATCTTCTGTTTTACTTACCTTGAAGTGTTCACTAAAAGAAATCTACCTTCACTGAAATGTCCCAATTGATAACACCTTTTTATGTAGAATCCTATTCAAGACTTTTCTTTCTACCAGAGTGGGTCATCCACGATGTTCTTTTTGAAAACACTGTTTTTAGACATGGACTTCAGGACAGTACAACAAACGATTACCATCCTCCCACTTACTTTTCACAAAGTTACTGACAGGAGACCACCTTTTCCGGAGACGTCTTTCTCTGCGTCTAGTTTCCCACAGAGCTCTCCTTTACTGAGTTATTTATAAGTGCCCTTGTTCAGAAACCATGGTTTAAATACATACAAGGCACTGCACTTCTGTTTTTTATGCTTTCCACTGAGAAACAGAAAAAGCTCATTTGAATCAGCCAGGGCTTCCCAAAGCTGAGCTGTAAAGAATACCGATTGCTCTACATAGGCCCTTCTTGCCTTCCCAGATGTTTGCAATTTCTCTCGGGAGACCATTTCCTTTTAAAGACCCACATCGTTCTTCAGTTTTGCAAGATTCTCGGCTCTTATTGCTTCAAATGTTGCTTCTCTGCCATTTCCTCCATTCTCTCTTCTGAAACTTGTACTAGGTATATGTTAGAGTCTTGTGGTCAATTCCCCATCTTTCTTTAATTGCTTATTTATATTTATCTGTTTTTCTTAGTGCTGTGCATAGTAAAGTCCTCAGCATCATCTTTTCAATTCCTTATCTTCCCTGACTGGGTCCAGCCTAGAATTTACCCTGTCTCTTGAGTTCAGCAGCTTCAATGATGACAGTTTTTAATTTCCAAAGATGTCTTTTCCAGATCCATCTGTACTTCATCAATTTCTGTTTCTTAATTTGTTATTTTAATAAATGGTATTTCCTTATTTATGTCTTTGAGCATCTTAAACGTACTTACAATCTTTGTTGGACTGTTCTATCATTTTATTTTCATCGAGGCTTAATTCATCATTTGATGGTCAGTTTGCAGGGGCTATCTCAAGTCTGCGTGTGTTTTGGATTTTGGTTTGGAGACATTTTGAAAGGGACAGGGTGTGCTTTCTGCTGTATTTCGTGTTTTGAGTGTTTTCCATTCTGTTTCTCTCTCCTTCTGAACTGACTGTTCTCTGTCAAGTGGTTTTATGGCTGCTTCCACTCAGGCAGCAGGGTCTCAGGGCCTCCAGTCTAGGGCTAGATCTTATATTGGTAGTTTGAAGCTCCTACACTGAGTGATATGAATGCAATTATTGCTGATTTCATCATCAGGCAGCATGGTTCAGGTCCTGGCTTCAAGGCTGTGATGCTCCCCTTTCTCAACCATACTTCTCACTTCTTCCCTAGGTTCTATGCATTAGGTCCATGGCCACATGTAA